AATTGAGTTTTAAAAAGAATTTTGCATGAGCTCATTTGCATGTATAATGGGGTCACAATGTGCATAACTGCTGTTTTTTTCTATAAGTCAATAACTATTATATGGCCTCTACAACCATCAAGACCTAACGAAAATGCCATGTCCTATATACCATTCGATGCGCCTTTTTGAGCTCTACAAAGCTTTATAGGCCACTTTCCAATTGCAGGGGTTGCCAAATCCGACAGGGTTATTTCTGTTTTCTTCAGAAATTAGTAAGCTTTTCTGATGACCTGTCATATATGTGTGAACTGTGGTGGTCAATATTCATTCGCATCATCACCACCATCGCATTGTTTGATCTGTGAAGATGAACGACATTATGTTGGTAAGAATGGCCAAGAATGGACGACACGGGAGGAAATATTGGGCAAATATGAAAATCAAATTAAGTGCGAGGAAAATGGATTATATTCAATTCGTACCGAGCCACAATTTGGAATTGGTCAACGTGCATTTTTAGTACAAACATCACATGGCAATATTCTTTGGGATTGTATCTCGTATCTCGATCAACATACTATCGATTTTATCAATAGATTAGGTGGTCTTACTGCAATTGCCATTTCTCATCCACATTTTTTTACCACTATAGTGGATTGGAGTCACTTGTTTGGTGACGTACCTATCTATCTTCACAGAGACATGGAAACGTGGGTATTGAGACCTGACCAGTGCATTCACTTTTGGGATGGTAGTATGAAAGATTTATTCGATGGAAAATTGAAACTTATTCACACAGGCGGACACTTCGACGGTTCACAAGTATTATACTGGCCAGAGGGAGCATCTCACCGTGGCGTATTACTAAGTGGCGATGAGCCTCAAGTTTGCATGGATCCGAAACAAGTTACATTCATGCACAGCTTTCTGAACTACATTCCGCTCAATGAAAGTAAAGTTAGACGAATTATGGACCGTTTGCAACTTGTCAACTATGATAGGCTGTATGATGCTTTCGTTATTTATGGTACAGACGGAGTGATTCGCGAAAACGCACAACAAATCGTTCAACGGTCAGGGGAACGATATTTGAAAGCTATCTTAAACGATTCCAAATAATGATTTAACCAACTTCAAGGAACAGTAGAAATATCAGTCGAGATTTTCAATAATCTATTTTTGTCGTCACACAGCGTAATCATTTCGATGGATCAGTATTAAAAGCACATTTTTCGCTTAATCAATCAGGTATATAATTGGGTCGAAAACGATTTCTTGATCAAATAAATATAGCAAGTTTAATTGATAATTTAATCGAAAAGAATGTGAAAGCTCACTTTGTCATGCATCTTCACTCCGAGGGTGAGGATGATGAGTTAAAGCCACCATAATTACGATGATTTGAATACCGATGAGGGTGAGTAGATGTGCTATGATCAGTTTTGTTTTTGCTGAAGGGACTCATCAGATGGATTATAACTTGTCCTCCTTCAGTCATGTTAGAGGAAATAAAAATTCAGATCGACTATCTGCTTAATGCAGGAGTCCAGAAAAATCTGAATATTGGCCTTCTTCGCCGATGTCCACAATGCCAAAATGAGAATATTTCATTGAAATTCGCGAATTGGCGGCGGTAATTCAACAAGAGAAGCGAATAATAGCCATAATGCAGATTTCTTTTGGAACGAACAAGTGAACCACCATGTGTGTGAAGTACCAAAGTAATCCTCTGTCTACTTTCTTTTAGTGATTGTTGATAACTTAAGTCGTTCACTATATCAAACGGCGGAAATAGATATGGACCATCTGCCAGTAGCGAGAGATTTTCTTCAATGATTGATTTGATTCAAGGAGGAAAAAGCAGGCCCTTCGATCCTCATTTATGCCGAAAAATGGAAGAATTTTTCGAATCTATGAAATTTTTTTTAGAATTTTATTATATAAAACATCACTCTGCTCATTATTTGATAGCTCCAGTCCAATTCTGATCTCTTTTCTTACTACCTTTGTTGGGTTTCATAGGTCCTGGTGGATCCTCATAAATTCTGGTGAATCAGGATGAAGATTTCGATGAGTCCTGAATAGTACTATGTGCTTTCAAAAACCCCTAAGAATCCTCATAGCTGCAGGATCTGCTTTTGCGCCCGAATCAGAAACCGATTTAAATCCTTTAAAATCCTCGATCAACTATTCTCCCTGCAGAACTTATGGAAAGTATGGAGATGTGACATATTATTAAGAATATCATTAACTAGATGATTGCCATCAATGAATGAAATTCGACGATAAACAATAAGAGATACTGTAAGTTTTTCTAATTTTGACATTTGACGAAGCAATGGTACAATTTTATTATCATACTCAATTGTTTCACGAAATGAAATCAATGAGAAACATTGTAAATTAGACACAGTTTTCTAAAAAAAAATAATTACAAATTATAAAATGATCTCAAAATCATTTATATAAGAGTAAATCTAATCTCTAAGTAATTATATATTTAGAATTTTACTCATATCTTTTTTCATTGATCAATTTTAAAATGAATATTTGCTAAATTTCTATGACAAAATGTTTCTTTATCCTTTTATAGATAATCTGATAAAACTGAAGATATTTTTGTCTAAAGTCATTCATCATAACATCAAACTTTCTTTTTTTTATTATTAGAGAAATATTTCTTTATCATTTAATATTTCATTTCTTCATGTGATAAGATTTTACAAGATCTACGCCGTATAATAAGAATAATAATAATAGATTAATAGGATGTCAAGTTTATAATACTATTCAGAATGATATAATCTTTTTTGATTGAAGAAGGTTGAAAAGAAAACAGAAATTTTCTTCTTTTTCTAATAAAATTCATTCGAAGTGGTTTTTACCGATCAATTTTACACCAGATTAAAGACTTCATCGAAAATATAAGTGTTTTATTACTATACCAAGAGATAAAAGTATTTCTCTGTCATTTAAAAAAATCTTACCGTATTATTGATAGTCATCAATGTTTTACGAATCATATCAATTTCTACAATAAATGTATGCAATTGACTAAGATGTCCATTAAGTAAACAAAGACAATCATTAAGATCGTTAAGCCTAACATTCACATGAACAATATTTGATGAATAACATGTTCTAGATGCTAAATCAATAAATGCTTTTGGTGAATACAATAAATCACTATACCAACTGTAATTAAAATGAATTAAATTCATAAACATTCGAAAAATAGTGGTAAAAACATTTTAAACAATTCCCGTATATGTTGAGCTATGTCGTCTACATTAATCGTAACAGTTAGATGTGAGATTTGATGACTGAGAGTATAAACTAATGATGATTCATCTAAAATAATCAAATTATAGTTTCTCTTCATTTAAAGATTAAGAAAACAGATAACATACCATTGGAAATACGACATGCCATTTCAATTGGAAGATTAACAAGACTAAATTTATGAAGTTTCGAATAATTTCCAATGCGAAGAACACGATCTGTTGATAACGAATCAAGAGTAAGAGATTGAATATTTTGCTGAATTCGAGGTAAAGTTAAAAGACAGAATCGATTAAGTATTGAATTGTTTCTTGAATTATCATGTTCATTTGATAGTATTGTTACGAAATTGATAGACTGTGTAAAAGTAATATCTCGAGCTAATCTGTCAAGTTTTTTATCGACTCGTATGAATGAATATAATACATCCATATTATTAAGTTTGTTTAAAATGCTGAGCAACATTTCGTCGCATAGATCAACGATATTGAGAGTTGAATTGTCCATGTTCAATTGTGAATGGCAAATATGTTGAATACAATCGTTTATATATATGTGTATGCTCATTCTATTTCATAGCTGACGTCGTCAACAATGATTATGTTAAATAGCTTTTCTTTTTTTTGTTTTTGAATGTTTTTCTTATCGTTACGTCCATAGACGTTTACAGTAATATTAAATAGTTCGATGATGAATATTGTGACTTTTCAACATAGTAAAATTTGTTCATAGATGAATTAAAATGTATCGTCAAGAATGGAACTATCAATAACAAGTGAGTCTATTTTAAATAGAAGTTTTTAAGATTTCATGTCTAATGTGTTTTCATTCGTTCCTGGAATTTATATGTCCAATATTTTCTCTCTAAAATGAACATTCTATTAAAATTGATATTTTTCTATATATTTTATTGTATGAAATACAGGTTTTAAGAATACATAATTAGTCGTAAATAAAAACGTTTTTTGATGGGGGTAGGTGTAGGTGGGTGTTGGTGTTGGTGTGGGTGTGTGGGTGTGGGTGTGTGGGTGTGGGTGTGGGTGTGTGGGTGTGAGTGCGGGTGTGGGATGTGGGTGGGTGTGGATGTGGGTGAGTGTGGGTGTGGGTGTTAGTGTGGGTGTGGGTGCGGGTCAGGGCTCCGAATGGGCCGAAAGTGTTTTGGAAATTACTGTGAGACAAAAGGAGTTGAAAAGTTTTTTCGAGAAGATTCTATGAGACACTAGCTCTGTGATTTCGTAGGAACTGCGTTTTTTGAACTAGGTCGTTCTTTTTCACAGTTACGATTCTTTTTTTGAAAACTTTTACACATATGAATCTATGAACACTAAAAATTTTCGAAAGAGAGCTCTGAGTCTTGACAAAAACAACCTACTTTTAACAAGGCCGTTTCTAAGAAACCACAGAGCTAGTGTCTCATAGAATCTTATCGAAAAAACTTTTCAACCGCTTTTGCCTCATAGTAATTTCCAAAACACTTTCGGCCCATGGGCCCGCCCATTCGGAGCCCTGGCGTGGGTGTGGTTGTGGCTGTGTGGGTGTGGGTGAGTGTCGGTGGTGTGTGTGGTGGTACTTCTTCTTCATAGTCACCGACACCCACACCCACACAAACACCCACACCTATTAATGTTAAACAAATTCTAATTCAAGCACCTTTATTAAATATATTATATTGAATAGAGAATATGGGTGGCTGAAAAGAAAAGGTTAAGAGTAGCAAATTGATTTTTATATTTTTGTATTTGGAACAAATAGGTCGATCTGTTTCGCATTGATCCGAAGGGAGAGGGAGCAGAGGGGTGGGAGGTCTTCTAATGTGTCAACGGCTTTACAAGATAAAGAGCTAACAACTCTGCAAGAGAACACTTAAACTATCAGTTCCATTATTCGCAACGACAACATCTAGTTTCTTATCATTGTTAAAATCTCCAACGACAATGAAGAATGGATTGGATCCATAGTCCAATGGGAATAGAATGATATTTGCAAATGTGCCGTTACCATGTCCAATAAGTATACCTAGATTGTTGTTGTCGTGATTCGCGACGACAATGTCTTGTATAGTATCGTTGTTAAGATCACCAATAGCTAGAGAGTATTGAGTCGAATTTGAACCTGTTGGATACGCCGTTAGATTTCCGAAAGAGCCATCGCCATATCCAAGGAAAACACCAACCATAGCCGAGTCACAACTACCAAAAGCGATATCCACTCGAGTATCATTGTTGAAATCGCCAGCAGCTATAGAACAAGGTGATAAATATGGATATGTTGAGTATGTCAGTTGATTTGTAAAAGATAGATTACCATATCCAAGAAAAATACCAATATTGTGAGTGCGTGAATTGGTGACACCGATATCTATTATATCATCATTGTTAACATCACTCAGCATTAACGACTGTGGTCGTGATCCATCTCCAGTTATGAGCCTCATTTGCATTACAAACATTATATCCTCATATCCAAGAAGGATACTCACATGATTCATATCCCAATTGGCGACGACGATATCCAGGCGATTGTCGTTGTTGAAATCACCGACAGCTACAGATATTGGATGACTGCCAGCTAAATATCTTGTTTGTGATGTAAAAAAGCCACTCCCATTACCAAGGAAAACACTCACATTATGGCTATCCAAATTGGTGACAACAATATCTAGATGAGTGTCGTTGTTGAAATCACCTATAGCTACAGAAATTGGCTTAGAGCCAACTGGATATCTTGTTCCGTCAGCAAAAGAACCATTTCCATGACCAAGAAAAACTCTAACGTCATTGCTATCCCTATTGACGACAACGATATCTAGACGAGTGTCGTTGTTGAAATCACCAACAACTACAGATGTCGGAGCAGAGCCAACTGAATATCTTGTTTGTGACGCGAAAGAGCCATTCCCATGACCAAGAAGAACGCTCACATCATCGCTAGCCTTGTTGGCGACAGCGATATCTGGGTGATTGTCGTTGTTGAAATCACCAACAGCTACAGATGTCGAAGAAGAGCCAACTGAATATCTTGTTTCGTCTACAAAAGAGCCATTCCCATCACCAAGAAGAACACTCACATACCAGCTATCAGCAACAACAATATCTAGGCGAGTGTCGTTGTTAAAATCACAGACAGCGACAAAGAATGGTTCAGAGCCAATTGAATATCTTGTTTCATTTGCAAAAGAGCCATTCCCATATCCAAAAAGAACACTCAAATCATGGCTCTCATAATTAACGACAACGATATCTAGATGATTGTCGTTGTTGAAATCTCCAACAGCTACAGATGTCGGAGAAGAGCCAACTGAATATCTTGTTTCGTTTGCAAAAGAGCCATTCCCATGACCAAGACGAACACTCAAATCATTGCTATACCGATTTGCGACAACGATATCTAGGCGAGTGTCGTTGTTGAAATCACGAGCAGCGATAGAGAATGCTCCAGAGCCAACTGAATACTTTGTTTCTTTCGTAAAAGAGCCATGATTGTATGCAACAAAAATATTCACATTATCACTATCATCGTAAACAATAGCGATTTCCGATCGCTTGTCATTATCCAAATCACCGGAAGTTATAGCCAACGGATGTGAATCGAAACTTTTTCCGCGACTTGTTTGACTTGTAAATGTTTCGTTTCCATTTCCAAGCATCATCGCTACTTCCTTTGTACCATAATTAGCTACAGCGATGTCTACCAAGCTGTCACCATTGAAATCACCAAGAGCTATCGAAGTTGGATGAGAATTTGAGCCTGTGCTCAGCATCATTTGCTTTTCGAAACTACCATTTCCATATCCAATAATAACGCCTATATTATTGGTACCGTGATTGGCCAAGATCATATCCAAATTGTTATCACTATTAAAATCATCAATTACTATACATTGTAGGCTAGATGCACCACCGGATGCATAGCTCACTTTGTAGGTTAGTCCTACTCTATTATACTGCAGCAGCACACTCACATCATTGATACCATAATTGACGACAACGATGTCTAACAGAGAATCATTGTTAAAGTCACCAATAGCTACAGATTGTGGAACATAGCCAACTGAATATCTTGTTTCGTCTGCAAAAGAGCCATTTCCATGGCCAAGACGAACGCTCACATCATTGCTATCTCTATTGCCGACAACGATATCCAGACAAGTGTCCTTGTTGAAATCATCAACAGCGACAGAGATTGGAGCAATACCAGCTAAATATCTTGTTTGTGATGCGAAAGAACCATTCCCATGACCAAAAAGAACGCTCACATCATTGCTATCGAAATTGGCGACAACGATATCCAGATGAGCGTCGTTATTAAAATCACCAACAGCTACAGAGAATGGCTCAGAGCCCACTGAATATCTTCCTTCGTCTGCAAAAGAGCCATTCCCATAACCAAGAAGAACACTCACATCATTGCTAAGCTCGTTGACGACAACGATATCCAGGTAAGTGTCGTTGTTGACATCACCAACAGCTACAGATTTCGGATAGGAGCCAACTGAATATCTTGTTTCGTCTGCAAAAGAGCCATTCCCATGACCAAGAGCAACACTCACTTCATTGCTACCTGAATTGGCGACAGTAATATCAAGGCGGGTGTCGTTGTTGAAGTCACCAATAGCTACAGACATCAGAGAAGATCCAACTGAACATCTTGTTTCATCTGCAAAAGAGCCATTCCCATGACCAAGAAGAACGCTCACATCATCGCTACCCAAATTAGCGACAATGATATCAAGGCGAGTGTCGTTGTTGAAATCGCCAATAGCTACAGATATCGGAGAAGAGCCAACTGAATATCTTGTTTCGTCTGCAAAAGACACATTTGTATGGCTGAGAACAACACTCACATCATTGCTATCAACATTCGCGACAACGATATCTAAGTGAGCATCATTGTTGAAATCACCGACAGCTACAGATATCGGAGAGGAACCGGCGAAACATCTTGTTTCTGATGCAAAAGAGCCATTTCCACGACCAAGAAGAACGCTCACATCATCGCTACCTGAATTGGCGACAGTAATATCAAGGCGGGTGTCGTTGTTGAAATCACCAATAGCTACAGATCTCGGAGAAGAGCCAACTGAATATCTTGTTTCGTTTGCAAAAGAGCCATTCCCATGACCAAGACGAACACTCAAATCGTTGCTATACCGATTTGCGACAGCGATATCTAGGTGAGAGTCTTTGCTGAAGTCACCAATAGCTACAGATATCGGAGAAGAGCCAACTGAATATCTGATTTGTGATAAAAAAGATCTATTCCCATCACCAAGTAGAATACTCACATCATTGCTATGAAAATT